GAGTTTTTACATAGTTAATTCAATTGCAGAAATAATTGTGTTTTCAACAACTGCTGCAGTAGCAACTGGAATTTACATGCAAAAAAAAAAACTTATAACCTTATGATTTATTGTTTAATTAGCTGGAAATGAATCATACACCAAAGAGTAAGAACTAACAATACAAACTGTCTTTAAGGAAATGTGGAACAGAATTTTTGTGACCACAATCATTCCTTTTCAAAAAGATAAATTAGATTTTATCAAATTTAAAATATTTGCGCTTCCAAAGACACTAGTAAGGCAATAAAAATGCTGTTGTCTGGGGGGGGGAAGTCTCTTCCGCTACAATTGTTTTGAAAAGACAAATTTGTTCCCCCATAGTAGAGTAGAGACAATCTGAGCATAATGTGAATTTATACCACCTGATGTGCAACTGCATCAACCAAACATTAGGTACAGAAAGCAGCACCTTTCTTAACTGAGCCACACAGGTAAACACAAAATGAACACATATGTTCAAAAATCAAGCAGCTACCTCAATTCACTGTGCATAGTATCTTTTAAGGTTGTGTCTTGCTATGCTTTCACATTTGTGAAGGCAGATTTTATAGATATGCTTGGGATGATGGTAAATATATATATAATCCCAAACATATCTGAGTCTCTTAATTAAAAATCAACAATGAATGTGAAAGCTTTACGCATTTGAGAGAAGCTTGAAGTAATAAAGCATTTTGAAGATGAGAGTATGTGATAGCTCTTCAGCAACATGGATAAAGGAATATACACTGCAGATCACTGGAGACAACACTGAAAAAGTAAAAGAAATTCTTATGGATGAACAACTTCAAGTGCTTCAAAGTCCATTAATAAGACCAAAAGAAACAAGACCAATGGAAGAATTATTGAACATATGGGTTAAACACCAAACAGTGAAAAAATCAGAAACTTCTCTCATTAAAAAAAAAGCACTGCCTACATACAAAAAAACTTTAAATATAAATCAACAAATTCTTTAGAAATGGTTCTTTAATGCTATTATTAAATAGTCTGGGGGTTTCAAACAGGACTAGAGCTGTAAGGAAAAGCAATTCTAGGGTAACAGTTATTTTCTATCAGGATTGGAAGGTATTATTGATTACACTGCCTTTCATGTTCCATTATTGCTATTAAAAAGTCATCGAATAGTATAGCTGTCATAGTTTTTTTCTCCCCAGCTACTTTTAAGGTCTTCTCTTTATCTTTGAGGCTAATATTTTATTATGAGGGGTCTCGATATTGATTTCATATTATTTATCATACTTGGAAATTTTTGCCCATCTTGAATTTGTGGATTTATATGATCGAGCAATTCTGGAAAGTCTCAGCCAGTCTCTCTTCAAATTCTGCTCCTATCCCAGTCTCTCTCTCCTCTACTGTTGACACTTAATTAAAAATATGTTGGAGCCTCTTATTCTATCACCCTTATTGTTTCTCTTTCATATTTTTTTTCTTCTTACTCTCTTGCATTCTGGATCTTTTACTCTGACGACGATTTCATTTCACTAATTCTCTATTCATTTGTGTGTAATATGCTGCTAGATGCACTTGAGTTGTCAGCAGGTGGCAGAAATGAAAAACTGGGACTAAAGAATTGTGAAACTAGGAAAAGACAATTCATTCATCCATTTATCATGGTCCCTGACCTGTCAATATGGATTCCCCCATAAGCAAACCATAACACAGAGACAGAGTGCATGTGATTTGTTTGGAGGGCGATCTCATGAAACACCACTACGGAACTGGAGGAGACAGAAAAGAAAGAAAGCTAATAAGGGGTTTATTATCCAGCAAGTTACCGTTACACACAACTTAATCCTTCTCAGGAACTCTAGAAGAAGAGTCCCTATTTAAGCACAGATTCCTATGCCCCACTCCCAAAGACTCTGATTCAGTAGTTTTAGAGTGGCCTCTAAGAATTTGCATTTCTAACCAACCCCCAGGAAACAGTGATGTTAATGTCACAGGTCAGTGGATCGCACTTTGAGGAGACAACGCTTCCGAGGGAATCATTCCATCCAAGAGACAAGGGAACAGGGGTGTTTATCCATTGACTCTGATCAGTCATTGTTCTAAAAGACTGCTCTCAAGCAGCATTAATTTCCTGGTGCGTACTGCCTGCCCACACATAGGCAGAATGAGATTCTGCAGCCAAGAAAAACCCCTAAGGAAATGTGTCACAGGTACTGGCAGTTGGAAATCAGGCTGGCATGTATTAAAATGGAAAGTGCCAAGGAAGTATTAGCAGAGCACTGACAGCATTTGCTACACTGCTATATGTGGTGTCTTGGGAAAAACAGACATTAACCAAGAAATTACATGAATAAATTACTTACGATAAGTGCTATAAAAGTAAATTACATGAGACTATCCCTAAAGATAGCCTCATATTATTTCGGATGTCAGCTTCCTAGAGTATTTGACGCTGACCAAAATAGTGCACTGTTTCACAAATGCATTAAACACCAACCACAAAGCAGTATCATATACATCAGCCATTACTGAATGTGCAGTATCTTATTTGAAGTCACTGTGATTGGCAGTTTACATTACAAATGTGTGAAGAATCATTATTAACTTTTCCACTTTGTTTCATTTCAATAAACCTTAACCTAGGATTTACTTTGTCTTATAAACCTTAAATTGCAAATATGGGGAAAAAAATGCTATGTTTCATTAATTTTTTTTTCATTAAATGCTTTTACCAAGAGAAAACTAAACCGGTACTGCACTGAAAAAATATTATAATCTATTACATTATATATCTTTTTTATTTTGTAATTCTATATTTGCTTTCCTTTAAATATATTTTACATATATTTATCCCTTAAAGCACCTAAAGAGTTAGTAGCTGTAAAGTAAGAAAACTTTATACAGAACTACCCTTACTGCAGGGCTCCAAGAGTATCCTCAGATTTGATCATTGCTGGGAAGACTCAGAACTCACTGAAAGCTATTATGCTCAACAGCTGCAGTTTATGAAAGAGAAAGGATACAGACTAAAATCAGCCTAGGTAAAAAAAAAAAAAAAAAACACAGGAAAAAGTCTAGGAAAGTTATGACTGCAAAGCTTCCAGCTACTGTCTTCTGTAGGGTCAGGAACAGTGCTATTTTCCTGGTATTGGTGAGGGACAACACACAGGAATACTGGCACCCAGGGAAGCTCACCTGGGCCGTGGTGTCCGAGCCTTTCCTGGGGTTCCATCACAGTTGCATGGGTGAATGCCCACAGTCTAGCCTCTAAGGAAGTTGAGATGATACTGCCTGTCTCAAAGTCCCATCCTAATCACATTGTTACTATCTGGCTTGACCCAAACATCCCCAGGCAAAGGAAGGCACTTCTGTCAGTCATGACATTCCAAGAATTTAAGAGATTACCTCCCAAAAGCCAAGGGCAAAGGCCAAACCTCTTTTGGGTCAAGTTTAAATTCTTTAATACATAGAACCTTACTTACCCTGTTCTTATTGTGTATGGTCAGTGCACTACGGAACCCTGATATTCTTCTTCACCTTACAGAGTTTAACTGCAAAATCATGATATTAATAATAATATAACTACATGCGGACCTCCTGAAATGAATGTGCTTTCAATATTGTTAGACAAGTATTTGGGAAAAATTAGTTTATTTATTTTAAGCCAATTCACAATTCACAGCTCAATCTTATTATAATATCACCAGCACAGAGTCTTCTTTTGCCATACATTGGTCTTCATTGCTCTATTTCATGTTTTGCAAAATAATGCTCAGGATAATCAATCCATGGTGGAATACCTTTCATTTTATATCAGGATGAAAATCTGGCCTTTTGAAAAACTATGAATGTATATCAGATAATTATATACCCTTTTCATGAGATGATTACTATACTTTAAGAAAATTACTGCAGAGTTCATTGTGCTCTGAGGCAGCAAAAATAACTTCCTCCAACTAGATAAAAACCTGAAGATTGCTACTATTTAAACATTAGCTGCTGGTGTTTCTAAATCGTTATGCTTCAGATAACCTCTGAAACACAAACTACTGAGTAACATGGATGCATGTAAAAATGCAGTATCTAATCATCCTTTTCATTAAAGGCACAGAAATGCCTAACAATTTTCTTTTTTGGTTCAGTTAGATATCAGAATGGCCCCCTGCTGGGCACTTTGTAATATATCCATACAAATAACAATTTTAGAGTGCAAACATTTAAAATCTTGACACAAAAACTAAGTATTATGTTGGAAGCAAAGCCTAAATTTTATAAATGACAAATCCTGTTGTAATATTTATGAAAAAACCTCAGCAATATTAATATTAGTAAACATAAATCATTTTTCAATGTTCAACAATTCTTTTATAAAAGTATTGAAAGGTTTTTTAACCTTGAAGTGAATAACATTTTCCTTAGACTACAAGAACCCACAAAAATGTTATCCAAATAGGATAGAAAATGTATTTTATCTAAAAATTAATGCCAGAATTTCTTAATGAGGGTATAATATTTAAGATAGTAGCTAAGAAAATTCTTATAATGAGGTTGTAAAATGTATTTGATATTACTGGTATTATTTTATGTCTGAAATCTTAAGAGAAAACATTTCTGCTAAATATGTGACTGCACTAAGTTTTAAAATAAGTCCGCAAGGAAACTATTAAACATATTTATAATCCATATAGAAGCATATAATGAATAATCACCATAATAATGACAGACAGTAAATTTATATATAACTTTCTAAAATCTTGATATACTAAAGTTGCTAAATAAATATCTACATGAACTTATATTAAAATGTTTTTCAAACAAATCATAAATATATTCTCTGAATATTGTCACCCTGTGTTCAGCTACACTTTCTCATTCCTTATAATATTAATGAAATTCTGAACATTAAGTGAAATGGTAAATCTCAAGCAGAAATTTTGGAATATTAGTTGTTGTTAAGGGTTTCCAGTCCTTCAGTGGTATCTGCTTTAATGTTTTCTCTGCACCTTTTAACATAACAAAGACACATCACTTCTACATTTACATCCTGAAATTATATCACACTGTATGGCAGCATCGAATTTTTCTTTCATTACAGGTACACTCTCTGTTTGTACCCATACATCACATCTTACAAACTGCATGCTGCAGTTATCACTGGGTTTGGTTTGTAATACATGGGTTGAGTTACTCTGACACTGTGCTAGCTGATCTGTGTTATTTTTCATTGAGAACTGGTGAAGACGCTCACGTTGTTCATGAATTCTGGCACTGTCTTTAATACTGCTATCATGTGGAAATTCTGCCGTCCTTTCTAAATAAAAATTATTTGTTGTGTCTTCAGTTTTGATGGATCTCCTACTTGAATCTTCAACTTGATGCAATATTTGATCTTCATCTTCAGATGGCTAAAAAAATTTCAGTAATTTTACTGTAAATGATGCTTAATTTTTTAAAAAATCATTCAATAACTTAAAAACACAGATTCATAGAACAGAAAATTTCAAACCACAAGAGATGTTGGCAAATTGCAAATCAAGCTGGATATTTGGTGTTTGAAAATCAAGGAGATTATTAATTTTTAAAATAGCAGGAACAATTATAATTCTTGTAGTAAAAATACAAATGAGTTAAAAAGGAGAAGGAAATTCTGTCTCTTCTCAGTACGCATAATCACAGTCTACATCATCCATCTTTCATGTAGAGGAAATGGTATACAACATACTCTTGAACCACTTAAAAAGAGTGGAATGAAAGTAATAACTTTGAAAGAAACAGCTAATATGTAAAACTTCTATTATTCAATCACTCACTTAGCAAGTAAAAATACCTGTATTGTACCTTTTATAGGCCCAGTCTCATAAAAGATATAACTTAAGGAGAATTATCAACTAACATAAAATAAAATAGTTAATAGAACATCTGAATAGCAATGAATATTATAACTGTTATATAAAATGTCAAATTTGAAGAACTTTTAAAGGTTCTAGATTTCAATTTACTAGCTTGAATGTTTCAACTTCATGAAAAAATTTACCTTTTAATTACTAAACTAACCAAAATATTCTTTTAATGAAAATCTTACATAAAGGAATTGATTATTCAAGTTGGAGAAAAGAAACAAAGTTAACATAAAAAAAACCTAAACTAAGGTATATGTCTCAGTTGATTGGCACTGAAATAGAAAAAGTAAGCTCACAAAATAGCACTGAGACTGCCTGGACACAAATTAAGAGAACACAAGCTCAATAAATTTATTTATTCAAGAAATGAACATTCATTTTGTATCTGCAATGTGAATGAAGCAGACATGATTGCTGCCCTCTTACAGCACACATCCTTCTGGGTTGGAATGATATGAACCAATTAATCACATACATGTACATATAATTTCAAACTGAGAAATACATTATGAAGAGCAAGTATGAAGCGTGTTGAGAGCATAACTGAGGGGCCTCATTAAGATTAAGGAACCAAGGAGGGGCTTTTAGAAGAAGTGACAAATTTAAGCTAAGACTTACAGGATGAGTAAGAGTAAGGTAGAGGAAACAGGGTATATAATGCACTGAAGCAGAAGAGAGACTCATAAGCTAAGGAAAGTGAAATGTCAGTACGGGTGAATATGGTGAGAGGAAGAATGCCAGAAGTCAGAAATGCTACCAAGGTCATGAACACATGGCCTATAGCCACTGTATTTTAGATTCCAAAGTAAAATAGAAATCCATTGAATGAATGCAAATAACATGATTTTACTTTAAGTTTTCAAAAGATCATGATGATTGTTAATTGGAGAAAAGCGGGGCAAGGTTAGAAGTAGAGAAATCTCTTAAAAAATAACCACAGTAGGTCAAGAACAAGATGATGGTACCTTAGACTAGGGTACTGACACCAGAAATTAAGTAGATAAATATTCATTTTGTTTTGGAGGTATAATTGATTGGATAAAATGAAAGATCGGGGGCATTCAGTTTAAAGTAAGAAAATAAGTAGATTTTGTAAAATGCCCCAAAAGATATATCCAATAGGAAACTGGACATCTAACAAAGGAACTGGGCTATAGTCATAGGGTTGAGAACTATCACTGAACAGAGAGTAAAGTCATCGGAGTACAGAGCATCACCTAGAGTTTGGAGGGTAGGTTAAGAGAAGAAAAGGGTCCTGCCCTGGCTGATGTGGCTCAGTGGACTGAGTCCGGCCTGAGAACTCAAAGGTCACAGGTTCAATTCCCAGTCAGGGTACATGCCTAGGTTGTGGACCAGGTCCCCAATTGCGGGGGTGCAAGAGACAACCAACCGATGTATCTCTTACATATCAATGTTTCCTTCCCTCTTTTTCTCCCTCCCTCCCCCTGTCTCTAAAAATAAGTAAATAAGTCTTTTTAAAAAAGAGAAGAAAAGGGTCCTGTAGCAAACGTTAAACATTACAACATTTAAATAGTGGTAAGGGTGAAAAAGAAGTGGGCAAAAGCATAACGTATCATTCAGAGAAGTATGAAGGAACTGAGATATTGTGTTATCATTAAAGCGAACAGAAGCAAATATTTCAAAACTAGAAAATTATTAATCATTTCTACAATATTACTAGGAATTCTCATAAAATAAAAACTGTCCAATGAATCTGGCAACATAGAGGTCATTGGTGTTCTTCCTTTAGCAAAAGCAGTTTGGACAGTGAGTTAGAGACAAAGGCATATATGAAATAGAGATGGAAGTATTAATGAAGTAGAATTCCATTAATCACGCAATTTAAGAGAAATGCAGCATTCCCACTCAGAAAATAACATCACTTCAATTATTCAGATTTAAGTCTACAATAACATTTTATAGCTTTCTTCATATAAGCCTTGAGCCTTTCTTTTGTATGTATTCTTGGCTGTTTTAGGTTTTCAATTATTGAGTGGGGGGAAAAAAAGCACAACTTTACCATACACACACACATATTGATAACAATCACTTTTGTAAATAACAATGAGCACATTCATCATCGTTATAAATGTGGTGTTCATCTGCATTTTAATTTTATTTCTTTCATATTTTCTTATATTTTTAATATTTCCACATTTCTGTTTACATTTATTTCCACAATCTATTGGCTCAACTGTTTTTCTCAACTATTGGTTAACTATGAGAAACACAAAGAATTCAAAATTAGTAGAACATATATTAATAAGCCAAAAAAGGAAGGAGGGAGCAAAACTTACCATTTCTGAACTAGAACTGAAACAACTATCTGTTGGCCTTGGAGAGTAACTGGAAGACTGACTACTCTGTGAAGACTCAAGATCTGAAAATAAAGGTTTAATTTATGAAGAATGGTATTCATTAATACTCTAGAAAATACATACATAAGCACAAGGTATTTGCTAGTAAAATTAAGTTTAGCTAACACATTAAAGAGCTGGTTGGAGCTGGGCAAAGGACCTTCCTACATGCAATAAACAATGAGTACTATTTATTCATGCCTTGGGTCACAACTGATGCTCTCTATAACAAAAACTAACCTCTGCCACCTGATAGACACAGAGGATTTAGCTGAACTCAGATACCCTTAGTTCATCACTCTAGAAGGAAACTGAAACCCTCATGGAGCAGGTGTTTCCTGAGAATGGAAAGCAGAGTACACAAAAGTGAATGATAGAATTTCACTAATAACATGATCTAAGGGCATTCCCCCACAATAAGTTTCATTCAATCCAAAGATACAATAAACTCAGAATCATTAGTGAGGAAGACAAATGTCTGTTGAATGAAGCCTTAATCATATGTGGAATCTAATGAGCAAACTGAATTAACAGGCAAAACAGAGACAAACTCATAGATGGAGAACAGATGAAAGCTAGTAGGGGTGGAGGGATTGAGTAAAAAAGAAAAAGGACTCAGACATGGACAACAGTGTGGTGATTACTGGGGGGTGGGGGAGAGTGGGATATAAGGGGACTGAATGGTAATGGAAAAAATATACAATAAAGATTTAAAAATAAATAAAAAGAGAAAATGCAGATCAAAATGTAACTACAATTTAACACTTTATGCAAGGCACTTTAATAGTTAGTAGGGATACATGGTCATAATGCTCAAAGTATGCAGAATCTTATAGTGAAGAGACATATTTATTAAAAATAGTCCTAAGATTAGGTACAATAATGCAGGTCATACAAGGTACAGAAGTAAAGAAAAGCCAAGTGTGATGAGCTATAAGGGAGGAGACATTTGATTAATAGCCATAGAGAAAGCACAATAATAAAAAGTTGATTTTGAAAGATGAACAAGAATTTTCCAGAGATACAGGATGAAAAATAGCATATGGCATGGGAAGGAAAAAAGTATAAGGACATACATTAATGTTAAAGAAATTTGCATTTTATATTATCTACCAATGCATCTAATACAGTGTGGGCTAAAGAAGGGTGAGACTAGCTGAAAGCAGGTCAGTTAGGAGACTAACTAAATTATCTAGTGATGAAATGATGAAGATCTGAAATAAGGCAATAGAGTGAAATTGGGATGGAGAAGAGGCCAAAGATTCAATTTTAAGAAAGCTTTCAAACAGCCTTAATTTTTACATGTATGTAGCTTTAAAAATTTTTGTGAACCTGTTTTAAGTTGAGTACTAAAATCTGAGAAAGATTAGACACACACTCATTCACGTGACAAAAAAGAAGAAATTACAATGATACCACAGAAATTCTAAGGATCATAAGAAGCTACTATGAACAAATACACACCAACAAATTGAACAACCTAGAAGAAACAAAAAAATTCTTAGAAATACACAGCTTACCAAGACTGAATCAAGAAGAGAAAATCTGACTAGAGAAATTACTAGTAAGTATATTGAATCAGTAATCAAAAATCTCCCAACAAAGAAAAGCCCAGAGCCAAAATGGCTTAACTAGTGAATTTTATCAAACATTTATAAAAGAATTAATACAAATCTTCTCAAACTCTTCCAAAAAAACCCAAAAAACCCTGAAGAGGAAGAAACCCTTACAAACTCATTTTACAAGGCCAGCATTATTCTGATACCAAAAACAGAAAAGAACAGTACTAAAAAAGAAAACTACAGGCCAATATCCCTGATTGATATAGATGAAAAAGTTCTCAAGAAAATACTAGCAATCCAAATACAGCATATTAAAAGGATTATATACCATGATCAGGTGGGCATATCCCTGGGATGCAAGAATGGTTCAACACATGTAAATTAATCAATGCGATTCATCACAATAATAGAATAAAAGAACCATATCATCATCTCAATAGACACAGAAAAGGCATTTGACAATATACAACATCCATTCATGATAAAAATTGTTAACATATTAGGCCCAGAAAGAACATTTCTCAATGTAATAAATAAAGGCCATATATGGCAGGCCCACAGATAACATGATACTCAATGGTGAAAAGCTGAAAGCATTTCCTGAGATCAGGAAGAAGGCAAGGGTTCCCACTTTCACCCCTCTTAGCCAACATAGTACTAGATGTCCTAGTCTGAGCAATCAGGCAAAAAAAATTAATAAAAGGTATCAGCATTGGGAATGAAGAAGTAAAATTGTCTCTATTTGCAGATGACATAAAATTTTAAGAGTCAACCAAAAATTTTTAGATCTGATCAATGAATTTAGTAAAGTTACAGGATGTAAAATTAACATGAAAAGAACCACTAATAATAGACTTTCTAAAAAAGAAAGAAGTCAATCCCAGTTACAATAGCATCATGAATAATAAAATAAATACTTAGGAATACATTTAACTAAGGAGGTGAAAGATTTCTACTCTTTACAAGACATTAATGAAAGAAAGTGAAGAAGACACAATTAAATAAAAAGGTATACCATGCTCATAGACTACAAGAATTAACATTGTTAAAACATCAATACTGCCAAAAGCCACCTACAGATTCTACGCAATACCCATCAAGATTACAATGCCATTTTTCACGGAAGTAGAAAAAAAGCACACTTAAATTTATATTGTACCACAAAAGATCCTAAATAAAAGAAATCCTGAGAAAGAAGAACAAAGCAGGAGACATAACACTTACAGATTTCAAGTTATACCCTAAAGCTATAGTCATCAAAGCAATGCAATAATGACATTAAAAACAGACAGACCAGTGAAACAGAATCAAGAGCCCAGAAATAAACTCAGGCATATACATTCAAATAATATTTGACAAGGGAGCCAAGAATACTCAACGGAGAAAAAACAATTTATTCAATAAATGGTGCTGGGGTAATTGGATATTAATGTATAAAAGAATGAAACTGGACCCATATCTTATACTGCTCACATAAATTAACTCAAAATGATGAAAGGCTTAAGTGTTAAGATATGAAGCCATTAAACTCCTAGAAGACATAGGAATAAATCTCCTTGACATGGGTCTTGGTAATGATTTTTTTAATATGGCACCTAAAGCACTAGCAACAAAATTTGTTTTAAAAAGTGAGACTTCATCAAACTATAAAACTTCTGCAAAGCAAAAGAAACCATTAACAAATTGTGAAAACCACCTATAAAATGGGAAAAAAATATTTGCAAACCAAATATCTGATATGGGGTTAATGTCCAAAATATATAAAGAACTCTTAAAACTCAATAGCAAAAAGAAATAATCACCCAATTAAAAATGGGCAAAAAAGTCAAATAAGCACTTCTTCAAAGAAAATATATACAAAAGGCCAACAAGGACATGAAAAGATGTTCATCATGGTGATGTTAAGGAAATACAAATTAAAATTACAATGAGATATCACCCCATGCCTGTTAGAACGGCCATCATCAAAAAGGGAAGAGATAAAACAGTAGAGTGAATGTGCAGAAAAGGGCACCCTTGTGCACTGTTGGTAGGACTGTAAATTGGTGCAGGTACTATGACAAACAATACAGAGGTTCCTCGAAAAACTAAGAACAGAACTACCATATGATCCAGCAATTCCACTTTCAGGAATATATCCAAAGGAAACAAAAACACCAACTTAAAAAAAACATCTGCACGCCCCATGTTCATAGCAGCATTATTTACACTAGCCAAGACATGAAAACAACCTGTGTCCACCAACAGAGGAATGGATAAAGCTGTGATATGTACACACGCACACACACACGCACACACACGAAATATTTTTATACCATATCTTTTTTTTAAAAAAGAAAGCCCTACCATTTGTGACATGAACAGACCAAGGGTGTATTATGCTAAGTGAAATAAGATGGAAAAAGACAAGTATTATGTAATCTTATCTGTGATTCTTAAAAAACAAGCAAACAAAAATACAAACAGAAAGAGAATAGACTCTTATTTACTGGAGGTAAAGTGTGGAGAAAGGGAAAACAGAAGGAAGGTGGTCAAAAGGTACAAATTTTTCAATTAGAAGATAAATAAGTACTAAGAATGTAATATACAACATGGTGACAATAGTTTCCACTGCTATATTTGTGACTTACGGCAAAAACCTAAATCTCTAACATAGGAAGATTCTTAAATATCAAGGAAAAAAGAAATAGCCCAAAACTCAATTGGTCAAAAGATATGCAAATGACCATTGAATATTTTTTTAAAAACACTGGGCTTCACTCAGATAGAAAGTAAACTCAAACTTCTATCTATCTTTGTAAGAGTCACAAAAATTCTTAAATTTGGCCACAATCCCTTTTGCTGAGGTTGTGGAATAAAACACACATTTCTGGTGGAACTGCCAAATGGTGCAACAGGGAATTTGGCAATATCTACAAAAAAAAAAAAAAAAAGTACTTTAAGCCTTAGCTTTACATTGTTGAGAGGTTCTGCAACTTTAGGTGAAACAATCCATAACTAAACCAATTACACTATAGGCTAATTTATATAAACAACAGTTAAGTTCCTACAATATCTCAGCTGAGTCTTAATTGAAACAATGCTATTCTAGGATTCTGCTGTATCTCTCCTTTGACTCAATAATCCCACCCCTAGAAATTACCCTGAAAATCATCTCCACAATTAAGTAATATACACACAAAGTTGTTCTCTGCAGAATTATGTTCAAATTAAAACTATAAATTATTACATCCAACGACATCCTACCAATGACACTCAAGCAGGCGATACTTCTGCTGGACCCTGTATATAAAAGACACATCTAGTAAGGAGAGCCAAAATTCCTAAAAGAAATACAGACAAAAACCATGAAGGGAATTTCACAGATGACCTGTGGATGGCCAGTCAATCTAACCAATAATCAGGGAAATATAAATTAAAATTGCAATGAGATAGAATGCCAATAATGATAAAAAGCTAACCCAGTGCAAGTGAGATTATATAACAAATAGGACTCCTATCTCGCTAGCAGAAGTTTAAACTGGCACAACCTCTTTGGAAAACAGTTTTGCATTACCTAGAAGAGGTGAAGATGTGCATATCACATTAACTAGCCAATTCTACTCCTAGAATTATATATCCTAGAGGAAATTTTTATACATGTGTTTACCAAGAGAAATGCCAAGAACTGCCAAAGTAGCATTGTTTACCATAGCAAAATATTCAAAACAACCTAAACAATCATTGCCAGAAAATGTATAAATAAATTATGGTACATTCATATGAAAGGAGGCTGTATAGCAGCTAACAAATGTTAAAATTACTGGAGTTTTCATGAGTTTCAAAGTAGGTGAACCTCAAAATATAGTGTCCAGCAGAAGTAAGGCCTGTTTAAGTGTGGATCGTAGGGTCATAATATGGGTGTAATAATTTATAGCTTTAATTTGAACATTTCACCTAAAATGTCATATGGTGTGCTGGAGTGTGATATTGCTACGTTACAGAATTACACGCTTATGATTTTGTAATAAAAGATTTATAATAAAAAAGGGGCATTATTTGTGCCAGACTCTGTATCTTACTGGGAGGGGAAAAAAAGGAAGTTGCAGAAAGAAAGAGTTAGCCTCATTTGTAGAAAGTTCAAAACCAAGCAATGTAAAAGTCTATGTAGGATATCACAAATACCAAATTCGGGATAATAGTTACCTCTAGAGGGCAGGATAGGTAATGCAATTGAGAAGATCTTAAGAAGTACTGGTTACACTTCCTTTTTAAAAAAATATAATCTTTATTGTATTTTTTTCCATTACCACTAAGTCCCCTTATATCACTCTTCCCCTAGCAAACACCATACTGTTGTCCATGTCCATGAGTCCTTTTTCCTTTTTATGCATTATTTCTTAAAGTACAAAGTGAGTACAACAGTATGTTTTATTATTTTTTGTTAAATTGTACATATATATGTATCAATCATGTATATTATATTTTACAAAAAAAATAAAAGCAATTTTAAAGAATCAATTGCCTTACTAGTACATTCTAAGTTAACTATGAAACATATTTGCTGGTAAAAATATAAAAAAAAAGTTTAACTGATTTCAGTTTAAATGTAAGTTTTTTTTTAAGAATAAAAGTCACCTACTGTTATACTGACAGATTTTCTCTGTAGCTGTTGGTGTGCCTTTTAGTGAACACAAACCTCCTTCTTCTGCCAGATTCTAGAAGAAAAACAAAATGTTAACAACCTCTATATACACAATATCCACTTACAGCTCCCTTTTAATTCCACCAATTCATTTCTACAGTACTCTTCCTTCATATTACTTTAAATGAACAAAGATGATTTTATTTTAAAAGTTAGAAAAATTAGCCTGTGATGAACAATAAATGAAATGAAATTAAAACTGCTTCAGAAACACAAGTGAAAGAATAAACATTTGCTAAGAAATTACCAACAAACACAAAAGGCTTCAGGTAGTCATAGTAAATGTAGTTGGAAAAGACAAAGATACTAAGTAATTTGGAGATTTATTCTGTTATTCCCTTTCAAATTTCTTAAGTTGGATAGCAGTTTGTTTATTTTCAGTTTTTTTAAGTAAAAGCTTTTAAGAGGTATAAATTTCATGTGGAACACAGGATTGGTTTTGTTTTCCATCAATTTCTATAAAATTTGTAACTTATTTCCATTCCTTTTCTTTTTTAAAACAACATCGTTTCTTAATTTAAAAGAAGGAAGGTTAAGCATCATTTTTTGTTGTTGATTTCTAATTCAATTAGTTCTTATCAGAGAATGTGGCTATGAATCACTGATTATATAAATCTCTTAAACTTTATGGCTTACTACATGAATTATGTTTACAAATGTACCATGAACTTATAGAAAATATATATTCTCTGTAGGTGGGATATAGAGTTTTAGATAGACAGGCAGGATAGAAGAGAAACTGCAACCAAACCAGTTTCCTTTTCCTCTTAGGCATACAACTATAATAGGCTACACTTCCTACCCTTCCTCAGAGTTGGCTTGGATGTGTGATTTAAGTTCTGGCCATGGGCAGAAGCAGTGTACACCACGGGCAGCCCTGGCCCATAAAAATATTCTTCTCAGCACTCCACTTCCTTTTCCCTCAGCACACACTACTGATATCAGCACACACTACTAAAATATCGAAACCAGCAGTTAGAGTCCCTACCAACTTGAGGCCCTAAATAACTTTACGCAGTAGAGCCTCTTCTCTAACTCCACTATTCAATCATTTTTAAAGTCTTGTATGTTCAACTTAAAAAAAAAAATTCAAGCCCCACACTTGCAGCAGGAATATACAAGCTGAAAAAGCTATATGGACTTCATGGCAGGCACACACTCCTATACCTACGTCAGATCTGTTGATAGAAGAAAACAGACAAAGAAGAGCATCCCAAAGAGAAGAAACTGAATTGTTCAAGGAAACTTGCCCACACTCTAGGACAGCAAGCCTTCACAATGCCTGCCCAGCAGGGTGTCATAACTGGTACGGATCAGTAACTTCTATCTTATCTTTTCTCAATAGGCATTTATACTGCACTTGCTACAATACTATGTATTTTCTTTAGGTGTCTATTTTGCTATCTTTTATTTTCAACCTTTATTATTATGTTTTACATGTTTCTTAAAAAGTATATAATTTTTTCTTTTCAATTTATTATTCTTTGAATCTTGATAAGAAAAATCACCCCTTCATATTTAATATATTAATTGCTAAGCAGATTCTGTCCCTTACATTTTATGTTTACCATTTATGAAGAAGTGTAATTTCATTTTTTCCCCCACCTTAATCAGGTCTCCTAGCATGACATCCACTCCTTTGAATTCTGAAGTTCTATGTGTTTTCATTTCTCCAATGAAGAAATTACTATTTAAACATTTATATTTGAACCTTTTTCCTCTCCTACTTTAAAATTAAATATGTTCCAGTTCAAGATGGTGATGTAGGTGGATCCTGAACTCACCTCCTCCCACAGACACACTGAATCTACAGCTACATATGGAACAATTTCCTCTGGAAAAAAACCCCAAAATCTAACTGAGAGACTCCTTCCTACACATTGAGCGAACAAGAAAAAACACACATCAAAATGGGAAGTAGAGGCTCAGACACAATTTCACCATAAACACCACCCCAGGCATGGCAATCCACAATCTGGAGGGAACCCACAACTCCAAGCTTCTCCCTGAGGAGAGGTACACAATTTTTTAAGACATGTACTTAAGAGCCATCAAAACATCAAGATTTGAAAGCCAATAGGGCTTGTGTTCACAAGACCCACAAGCTATAGCAAATTGAGAAATAGTTCTTAAAGGGCTCATCCAGGCTCAGTGTAGCTCCCTGCCAAAGCCTAAAGCAGAGGCAGCTTTAGCACTGCCTTATCCAGTCTTTGGTGGGAGGGCGGGGATGTGGGGGTGGGGGTGGGGAGCCTATTAGCTTATCTTCACAGCTGTAGTCTGACAGTCAGGCTTCTGATTAAACTCACATCTAAAGGCCAACCATAATCCTCTCCAAAGACCATGGAGCCTGGGAGCTATTTTTGCCCTCTCCCTCTGCGTCACTCCAGGTTGCCAGTATCTCCCCAAAAAGGAGCTGTGCACATGTCTAGTGTCCCAGTTTTTGTGGCTGCTGATGAGGGAACACCCCTTGATCACCTCACTCTTGGTAGCCAATGGGGCTTACATTCAGGGCTCCCAAAGAACTATAACAAGCAGAGAAAGAGTTCTTCACTGGCTACCCCTCAGGGAAGAGCATAGAGACTGCAACAAACTCCCAGTCGGTCTGTGAAAGAGGCCTGTTAGTATATCTTCACACCTGTGGCCTGAGAGGCAGGCTTCTAATTAAACATATATCTAGGGACCAAATGCAATCCTCTCCAGAGACCAGAAAGTCCAACAGGTGCCCTCTTCATGCTCCCCTCTGCCCTTCTCCAGCTCTTCAGTGTCACCAAAAAAGGAATTTGCACATACATCTGGCACCCAGCTTTTGTGGCTGTTTCCCAGAAGACACATTTGTTCAAAGGGACGGTAGCAAACAAAGAAACAGTTCTTTACTGGCTATCACATCAGGACTTGAGGGAAAACAGATAGAATTGCCCTTCTCAAAGTATATTGGTATACTTACAAACAGACTTATCTATATGCCTGAGGGTCCAGTTTCTGATCACACTTAGTCTAGGTGCTACCTAGGATCTTCACCATTGGGTCACTGGCAGATTTGGCACACCCTACACTACAAAAAGCCACTAAAAATAAAGTAGGATACCTGGACCATCACAAAGCTTTGAGAAACAACCAAGAGTTGGGTCAGTGCTAGAATATAAAGTTTATTTCCTATACAGGGCCAATTCTTTTAGGCGAGGTGGCTGTTTTACCTAATGCATAGAAGCTAACAAAGAAGGTCAAGGAAAATAAAAAAAACATAATAACATGTTCCAAACAAAAGAACAAAATAAAGCCTCAGAAAAAGACCTTAACAGAATAAATTACCTGATAAGAGTTCAAAATAAAGATGCTCACTCAGGTCAGGAGAACAACACATAAACAAAGGAAGATTTTTAACAAAGAGGTATAAAAATATAACAGAGTACCAAACAGAAATCACATAGCTAAAGAATACAATAACTAAACTGAAAAATGCAACAGAAGACTAGATGAAGCTGAAGAAAGGTTCATCAAACTTAAATACATGGCAGTGATATTTATCCGGTCAGAGGAGCAAAAAGAAAAAGAAAAAAGTGAATATAATGTACAGCACTTATGGGCCAATACCAAGTAGCCCAACATTCACATTACAGGAGTCCCAAAAGGAGGAGGAGGAGAGAAAGGGCCAGAAAACTTCTGTGAAGAAATTATGGCGGAAAACTTCCCTAAGCTAGGAAAGAAAACAGATATCCAGATCCAGGGGGCCTATAGAGTTACAAATAATATAAACCCAAAGAAACCCTCACCAAGGCACATTATGGTTAAATTATCCAAAGTTAAAGACAAGGAAAGAATCTTAAAAGCGGCACGAGAAAAGCAACTTCTTATGTACGAGTGATTCCTCATAGACAATAAGCATATTTTTCACCAGAAAATTTCCGAGCCGGAAGGCAATGGCATGATATATTCAAAATGCTAAAACAAGAAACTGCCAAACAAAAATACCCTACTCAGCAAAGCAGTCCATCAGAATCGAGAGATTCCCAGAAAAGCAAAAGCTAAAGGAGTTCATTACCACTAGACTGACCTCACAAGAAATGTTAAACAGACTTCCTTAAGCAAAAGAAAAGGACACAAATTAGTGAAAGGAAAATATATAAAAGTATAAATATCACTAGTAAAGGTAAATATATTGTAAAATTAAAAATACTCTAGAGCTGTAAAGGTGGTGGGTTAACCACTTAGAAAGCTAGTATGAAGGTTACAAGACAAAGGTAATAAAAATAACTACAATAATTAATAGATACACAAGATAAAAAGGTATGTTGTGACATCAAAACATAAACTATGGGAGGAGTAAAAATGTAGAGCTTCAGAATACATTTGACTTAAGCTTTACCAACTTAAAATAGACTGCTTTAAATGTTATTTTTATATATGCCTCACACTAACCACAAAGCAAAAATCTATAGTAGGTATACAAGAGATAAAAAGATATCTAAACACACCACTACAGAAAATCACCAAAACAAAAAGAGAGCAAGGAAAAAAGTACCAAAGGAATTACAAAACAACCAAGAGACAATGAAGAAAATAGCAGTAAGACTGTATCTACCAATAATTGCTTTAAATGTAAATGGTCTCAATTCTCCCATCAAAAGATACAGAGTGGATGGATAGACTTTAAAGGAAAAAAAAAAAAAAATAAGACTCATGTAGATGCTGCCTACCAGAGACCCACTTCAGACATAAGGACACAGACTAAAAGTGAAGGGATGGGAAAAAGATAATCCATGCAAACAGAAGTCAAAAGAAAGCTGAAATACCTATATGTATGTATACAAGACAAAATATTTTTTAAGACAAATACTGTACTAAGAGACAAAGAAGAACATTACATAAGGAAAAAGGGTCTATCAAACAAGAGAATATACATTTGTAAATATTCATGCACCTAACATAGGAGCACTTAAAAATATAAAGCAAATATTGGAAGATCTAAAAGGAAGAAATAGACAGCAATACAATAATATTGGGCTAGTCAAAAAG